CAGATCAAGATGTATGGTGTGTCTTTGTCGTTGTTCGACGAGAGTCAATTTGATGATGATTCTCCAAGCGTCCATGTACATGAATACGTAGGCAGTTGTAACTCGTCAACCTGAGGAAGAAGCAGAGAAACAGGCTATACAGTTATTGATTTTTGATTGTGAACAAGAAGCCAGCTCTCCTGTAGCCTGTGTTACACCTTCCATGAATCCTTCAAAGCACTGTGAGCAATTCTGAGGACAAATTGAAGGCATTCCAAATAATGGTTTAAATTAGAGTGCATTTAATTCAAACCTGATTAACCTATTTAAAGACACAAGTACAGTAGGTGAGAGCCTTCAGCAGGGGTGAGATTTGAAGAAAATGACAAATCCATTTCAACAATTGATTACATCATGTTTCCCTACAATATCCTAGCATGTTTGAATGTTTGGATTAAATTCCAAAATTTGTCTTCCCCTTGGCTGCCTCCTTTTGTTCATCTATCTTTTAAGCCACAAATATAGCCATGGATTTTAAGCCTTTGTCAAGTGAAAGATCTCCATTGTGATCAATGATTTTAAGAGCCATTTTGATCAATCAAACCACGAACCATTTACCCAGGGATGTGCAACTTAAGCTCAGAGCTGGTTCAATGCATGTTACGGCCTGCACAATATCAAAGCAGAAATTAAATTGGATTATCTCTAATAATGCAACATATTTTCCTGTCTAACACTTTGTTTTCTTGTAATATTTTAAGTCAGGGTACACCCTTTCTAAAAATATGTTGCTCAAGATATTTCATCCTATACATTCTGAGAAAAGTGTGCCACAAAATTGAGGCATTTTGCCTCAGTAAAACTTTGTTTCTGCTTGAAATCGATAAATAAAGAAGATTTGTTCGTCGAAACGAATAGATTTAAGCACCGCGTCGGCGCGTCGCCTCGGCATAACCAAGGCTGCACTGTACATGCTGCAACGCGTGTCATGTGGTCGCGAGTTTTTTCGAGAAAGTTGAGAGCGCCTGCGGGGGTAATAACAATCCGTAACACGAATGGAACCAAGGTTGCACATGCGTTTGCACTGGGGCCACTCGCTGTTGCACATCCCTGGGTAAATGGTCCATGATCAAACAGTGGTGTAAGTGGAGCATTAAAAAATAGCTGAAACTGAAAGAGTCAATTGCAAAGCACACTGTACATGTATATGCAAGTAGAAATGTCCAGAGCCTGCTTAAGGGACCTGGGAAAATCTGGGAAAGTACTTGCTCTGAGGTACAATTTACGGCCTCCTTGTGCAACCACTGGCCTAGTAATGTTTTAGGCTTTCGAGTCAACTCGTACCATGGACAACTCGTGCCATGGACAACTTGTACCTTGGACAACTGGTACTACAGACAACTTGTACCATGGACAACTCTTACTTCGAGTTAAGACCACTCGTACCCTCGTGTTCGCAATTTAGTTGTACCGGTAACTTTCTAGCGTTTCCTTTTTAGCATATTCAAGGATCAGATTTGACAAACATATCAAGGAAACATCTTCATAAATCTCCCAGAGAGATCTCCAGCGCCAGCATGATTTTCTGCATCGTACCTGCCTTGGGCATTTGCACAGTCAGTTTATGTGCCGAACAACCCGACCATTTACCAACTTGACTCAGGGCAACTCAACTGTTGAGAAGCCGCAACGCCAATGCGGCAGATGCATGGCACAACATCCCTAGTACACTGCTGCTGGTGTGGGTGACTGTAAATACCAGTAATACCACCAATCTTGGAGTTTTTGGCTGCATCTTAAATATACATGTACAAATCGTTCTTTGTCTCCTTTTTTTCTATTATAGGTTTTTGATTGACTCAGTGATATTGACATTGAAGTTTCTGAAATATTTACTGCAGTAGCTGCCATCGGGAGTCTACATGCAAGTGATCTTCAAAAGTTTTTGTTTGTAGATAATTATTGATAAAATTAATTTCAAACTCCACTTGTGAACATATTTATCCAATTATCCAGTTTGTTATGTAATAACTAGTAAGTGTAAATGGAATACTGAACCAAGTTATTTATTCATTTATTGCAATACTCTTAACCATATTATTTTAGTGGGCTGGTTGTCTTCCTTATTAACATGCTTTTGGGGGAGGACTTTACTAAACTATAAATTCTTTTTTGGGGGCTTCAATTTATTCTTTACTGGACTTTTTCTTTTTGTGGGGGAATGACGGCTTTGCTTAATAACTTTGGGGGGTTATACTTAATAAAACTTGTTACGCCTTGATATATTTTGGAAATGTTTCCGGACTTCTTTTTTTATTTGTTTTTGTTTGGGGGGTGGTTGCCTTTTTTATTAAAATTGTTTTTTGGACAAGTTAAAACCGACATTAGTTTTTATATAAACTTTGAAGTAAATGAAAACATGACCTCACTCCATCATCATGGTGAAAAAATAACTACTCCTACTTAGATTATGTATAGAGACATCTGGGAAATCTGTGGTCAGGAAACCACGCTAATCACATATGGGGGGACAGCAATGGCAGGGCATGTGATACACGCTGTGTTGTCAAGCTAGCTGTTTACACACGTTTAAATTGTTTGAAAAATATGTACTTCAGGGAGTGATAATATTTTGCAATGACACAGTTGTGAAGTTGTGAGACTAATAGTGTCTGTTTTTCATGTAATTTGGGGTTTATTTATTGCAAAATGGTTGAGCCGATATGTGATTAGTGCGGTTGCCTGACCACAGATTTCCCAGATGTGTCTATACATAATCCTAGCAAGGGTAGGCCTAGTAGGAATTACGGGGACTGGTATCCAAAGCAACATAAATGTTCGTTATGTGAACATGCTGTGCCTGTTTTTGTCACGTGACATACCGCTACAGAATGCAGATATGTGCGAATCGTCGAGGGATGATCATGACAATGAAGGACGGTACCAAAAAAAAATCATTTTTTGCCAATAGGCCTAATATACCGTAGGCTAAAATGCTACAAAATACAATCATGCCCGGTATTTCCATAATTGGTTAGTTGTAGGGTCTTTACTTTAGGAGGAGATTTGCTTCAGAAACTGCAAATGGAGGTTTCATCTAGTACAACTTCTTGGCAGCTTTCAAAATGCTATAGCCTATAGCATGTAGAGCCAAAAAAAAAAGAGTGTAGTACCTTACTGTTCAGGAAGTACGCTGCCCCATTAATTAGAACTGCAACTTGCAAGTCAACTACAGTACATTCCTTGTTTGTGTCCCAGACCAAGAACACATTGGCATGCACTGCGAATGTCCAAAAGGTTGTAACTAGTACTGTACATAGGTATACATGTAGGCAATGTCCGGTTGTCCATCTGACCATTTACTCAACAAATGGTCGAGTACTACTACTACCTCCATGGTACAACTACTAACACAACCCATTGACAACGCTCTTCGTTTTATACAGCAGTCGTTCCCGTCGAAATAGTCTATGCAACCACTACAGCAATGTATCAAGAATGAAAAGGGCGTTAATGCCGAGTATTTTGGGGGTCACTAAGAGGGTAAAAACAGCATTTTCGAGACGAAAAACTTACCGCCTGGGAAAACCTCATGGCATGCTGGTGTTCAGGTTTTTAAATTTTGTACGCGTGCGCTGAGTGAACGTGGACACTGTAAGTACATACTACGTCAAGCTAGCCTGATACGTCTAGGTACATGACATGGACAGTCTGCTGGGGAAAAAAGCAGCAAGAGGGCGCTAGGCTAGCACCGCGCCTAAAATATCGGAATAAAAAGACGTGGACCCAAAAAATACATGAAGTAAAATAAAAATTAATGAATATAACTAGACGAAACTTACTGAATGTACGATATAAGTTTCATGTGTTATCATTTAGGCAAATATAGAGATTTGCACTTATTTGGCAAATATGAGTTCCATAAGGCTTGTTTTGCATTGTTCAAAAAAAAAAGAAAAAAAAAAGAGAATTAACCCAAAGACATTGTTACTTTCTGTCCAATTTTAGAAATCAGCATAAAATGTGAACTAAAATCGTTTGGATGGCTACCCCTTTGTGTTTTATCAATACATTTTTTGAAAATATTGCTTTTTTAGGAGTGTTGTCAGAAGTCACTGAACTTGAATATGTAGTAAATAACAGTGAAAATAAATAAATTTCTTCCTTAAACTTATCTTGTGACAGTGACAAGAAAAAAAAATCGTCCCTATCCACTCAAGAGACTTTGGATCCTAGTGTAGCTGCCCTGGAAAAAGATACACTTCTATTATCTCTCTTTACAGAGTCAAGAGGAAACCCTGCTATCCTTCAAATTTATCATATTTCTCTCCTAACTTAGGGTTATAACTAAACATTTGCTTCCAAAAGATACTGGACTAAATATGTAACTGCACATTTGGAATTACATATTCAGCCAACTTTGTGAGCTGCATGCAAAGATCTGCTTGAAATAAACCAAATGACCTCGCTTGATTAGTAGTACTAATATTTGGATTGAAAAGAAATTCTGAAAGGATGAAAGAAGCACAAACAAACTAGTAGCCCACGGGGGGGGGGGCTTGAGGGGCCTGAACACCCTCCAGGTCATTCCTATTTTTTCTTCTGTTTGTAAATGAAGATAAAATACACACCTCGCTCTGATAAAACTGTAAATCCCAGTCCCCTGTGGTGCAATTACAGCAGGGGGTGAGTATCTTGAGCTTTTTCCGGGTAAATTCCCATCCAAGCCCCCCCCCTCACTCTACATGACAAATCCTGGGTGCATCACTGTAAACAACCTCATGAACAAGAGAGCAAATGAGTTGAGCCAGTAGGGAAGCAATAAAGTTGGTTAACATGCAGGCAAACTTCCACACACTAAACCCTATCATCCAACTCACCAAGAACAAACTTAAAACAAATAATCAATTGTCTGACACAAACTCTTCTCCTTTGTCAAATTAAATTTATGTTTCTGAATCTCCCAGATATGTTCCTGAGATTTCAACAAACACTGAATAAATGTGTCTTTGTCAATGCAATTATATTCAGCAAGTCTTAGATCCACACTAACAGCAATGGATATAAAAGACACTTTCATCAGGCACTCCTGTTGGTCAATATTCATGCCTTAAAGCAATATAACATAATGCAAAAATATACGTTTTGCTGTGATTACAGAAATTACACTCAACTATTACGGTTTCTCACAAATTTATTTTGACATATGAGAACTCCCGTGGCAGAATAAAAGAATCAGAAACGACACAAGAAATTTGTCCTTCAAATTGCAAACTGACATTCCTGAAAGTGTTAAGCAAAACATTTCATCTATGGATAATCATAAAGAAATTTCCATGAGTGTTCTAAGGGTCATTTATATTGTTTAAAATTAAAATCATTTCATTATTTCATTTACCGTGCACTTATTGCCAAAGGCCTTCTGGACCTGTAAGGACCTTTTCTATTAAAAACTACAATTTACACAACTCCAGCAGATAGTGTGACATTTAATGCTGAATACAAGAACATGATGGTGTAATTAACAACAGTAAAAATCAGCCCACATTTTATTTCAGTAATTGATCAAAGATTATGCCAAAAATCAGAATTAGTTTATTGCATTTGTCCCTTAAGGTAAGTAATTCATCATCGTAACTGATACAAAACACATTGAAACCTTACAGCAAGAACTGACCAATCATTTGCTCCACTGTTCACTTATTGACCAATCATCAATCAATTGATCCCTCTCAAATAATCATATCTGTCTATACCTGGCGCATCAGTTCAATTTCCCAACCTGGCTGACCTCTAGAATCACCACAACTGTATCATGAACCACTAACACCACACTGGACACCTCATTGCTCTCACCACTGTAGTCACCACTATCACCAAGACTGTATCATGAACCACACTAGACACCTCATTACTGTCACCAATGTAGTCACCACTATCACCACGACTGTATCATGAACCACTAATGCCACACTAGACACCTCATTGGTCTCACCACTGTAGTCACCACTATCACCAAGACTGTATCATGAACCACTAACACCACACTAGACACCTCATTGCTCTCACCACTGTAGTCACCACTATCACCGCGACTGTATCATGAATCACACTAGACACCTCATTGGTCTC